GAACAGGTATAACGCTTATAAAAAAACAAATGACTGTCAGACGGCCATTTTTAATCAATCAAAGGAACAAAATGATACACATCAGTAACTCACCAAGATGTCTAAGTTTAAACAAAATTAATCAAGGCATGCTTGAGAAATGGTTGATGACATGTTCAAATGTTGATTTTTGTTGTGTTTGGGACAAAAATGGCCACCAGTTGATCAACCAAATGAAAAACAAATCGCTTGCAGATATCATTATGCCTTGTCTTTGTACCGACTTTGAGCAAATTTGGTCATGGCATGTCCAAGAAATGATGATGGACAAAAGAAAGGACAGAAGTTCCTAGACTAGCTGGATCAAAGTTCATAATAAAATGGTTATGGTAACTTTTAACAGTTATAGCTCATGATACCCAAAACAAGTATTATACTTAAAAAAAATAGTAGCCCAAATGAGTCCTATCAGACGACACGTATAAATGAGTAGGCATGTGGCATATACATTCAGTAAGAATCATTGTGCTATTTCTATTCACATGCTGAAAAGCAGACTTGTAAGGTTATGACATTATGGATTCTCCCATGCAGAGTATACAAAAGGAGGTTGGAACCATGCACCAAGAATGGTTCAATAGGAAGAATGGTAACCAACAATGGCAAATTACCAATATTGTAAATCATTCATGTAATGTTTTCTGCAGCGGAAATTTAATGAACACAAGGTACATATTATGTAGATAGTTTTAAATGCAGGCATGATGCTTGGCTACAGTGTTGCTAACAGAAACAAAAACAAAAATTTATAATCCACAGGTCCAATATATTTGCGAAAATCAGTGAAATGTACCTTTCAAGGCCTAAAGAACAGCACAGTATTTGTTTAATATGAAAATAAATGATTCATCATTTGTGAGCAAAGAAAGGTCAACTGACCCTATGTACAAAAGGAAATGAAATGTATAACTCAGATAAGAGTTTTTGTACATGTAAATCTGAATTCAACTACGTGTGATGTAGCATGTAAAAAAGAGTCAGTCATGTAATCAAACATCCCCTGCCTTGGAAGGCAATGATAATTCAAAGAGTACTCGATTTGGTTTTATTGCGGCCAACCAGAATAATACTTAACTTGATAGCCATAGCAACAACACAACACTGTCAACTATAACGGTACAAACAATAAAATCAATGATATGCTTACTTTCCCTCATTATTAGTGAACTGTACATGTACTTGAAGTATATCACTGTTAAATAAGACTACAAAGGTACCAGGTTATGAACAACACAACCTTTGAAAAGACAAATCTATTTTTAGTTCCTTGCTTGCATTCCAGTTTACTAAAGTAAGTTTGGGGTAGTACCTTGGCCCAACCTTGCAGCTACATCCCTTAGGGCTACTTTTTATGAGATTTATATAGCCAAGCTAGACAATTTTAAATCTGAATAATGTTAACTGTTTGAATAAAAACCATCAGTTCAAAACATAGGAAATTCAAATTATTTCCCAAAATGTTCTTACTCTAGACTGATAACTGAAAATCTAAAATACTACTACTATAGATAAGAGGTATTGATAATATACATACAAAATACAACATTTTGCTGTAATGACGATTTACTACAAAATACTTAAAACCATTAGTTACTTTGTACATGTATTAAAGTACATGTTGTAACTAGAAAAGACTGATAAAGGAAATCTGAGTGGGATCAACCAGTTTTAGTAAAAATCTGATGTATATTTTTGCTTTATATTTTTTTACATAATCTTTATTTTGTATTATGGTACACAACTTGTAGGCTTTAGCAATGACCAAAAACCTCTGGAAAATAATAAAATACAAAAAAAAAAATGAAATGAATAAATCTGAGAAAGGTCCACCTGTAGTACCTATATATATAATATCAAAGCAATCAGGCTTGTAGTTTTCAAGAAAAAGTCTAAAAAGTGAGAAGTTGGCACGAACACCTGTCAATCATTCATATGATAAGCTCTGCTGGACAAAGACGAAGCAGAGCTAAAAAAAGCCAAATCAAATACTCTGTTTAAAATTATCAGACAAGTCAGTCAGATTTACATACAAAATATTATTAAAATGCACAGAGCTTTTGTAAGTGTGCCTTCAAACTTCCTCCTCATTTGGAAAATGTGTGTCATATTTATGCCACATTTGAACACTTTCCTTTACTTTGAACAAATAGAGCAACAACATAGTTGTCTGAAAAATAGACTAAAACTAAATTTAACTTACCATACTTTCCCAGTCATAAGCCTCTCCCTGGGTATACGCCCACCCATTATGTTGTTCTATAGTATTATCAAACTGCATTTCTAGTCAGTTTATTGGAGAAAATGTATCAGTCTGTATTTATATCTAATTAGTGACGTAAAAT